GGTGCGGCGGCGGGCGCGCCGGCAGGCGGGGGAGGCGGCCGGGCGCAGCGGAGCGGGCTGCTGGAAGTTTTGGTGCGGGATCGCTGGCACAAAGTTCTGGTGAACTTGAGCGAGGACGCCCTGGTCCTGAACTTGAGCGAGGACGCCCTGGTTCTGAGCTGCGAGGAGGGCGCTGCGGCGTACAACGGCATCGGGACCGCCACCAATGGCTCGTTCTGCAGGGGCGCCGGGGCCGGGCACCCGGGCACTGGCAGCGCGCAGCCCTCGGACTCGCCCGCCGGGGTCCGCACCGCCTTCACCGACCTGCCAGAGCAGGTGCCGGAGTCCATCTCCAACCAGAAGCGCGGCGTGAAGGTGCTGAAGCAGGAGCTGGGAGGGCTGGGTATCAGCATCAAAGGTGGCAAGGAGAACAAGATGCCCATCCTCATCAGCAAGATCTTCAAGGGGCTGGCGGCCGATCAGACCCAAGCCCTGTACGTGGGCGACGCCATCCTGTCGGTGAACGGAGCAGACCTGCGGGACGCCACCCACGACGAGGCGGTGCAGGCGCTGAAGCGCGCGGGCAAGGAAGTGCTGCTGGAAGGTAAGGGGTTAACACCGCGCGGGCCGCGCTGGGCGCGCACACACCTACTCACCTCCCGCACACTCACACTCAGCCACGTGCAGTCGCGTACCAGGGGCCCTGGTGTGTGTGTGTGTGTGTGTGTGTGTGCTGGCGCGGGGTGTATGTCGGGGGGGGGGGGGGGGGGGGGGTATGTCGGGGGGGGGGGTGAGGGAGTGTGGCAGCGACATAGAGTTTTGACAACTTTTACCCACCTGGGGGCAACTTGTCCCCACCCGGAATCGGAGTCAGAGTCCTTACAGGCTTTGAACCAGGAGAGGAGTACCCAAAGGCAAAGCGAGCAGGGGATTCTTGATGGGGCCCTGCGGTTAGCGCAAGTTGTTTCATTTTTATCTGCGGTGATTCAAAGCGTAGTGGAGCAGCTGGGCGGTGGAAAGCCAAAGCCAGAGCAGAGGGGATAGTCACCCATCCACGTAGCGATGCCGCGCGGCCCCTGAATAATTGCAACTCTGGTAGTTTCCTGCGTTGGCAAAATTTCCCTCAGCAGCCTAGGCAACTCAGCCTGGATCATTAAGGGGCCAGAGAGAAGTGACAGTGTTTGAACGCTAACGCTCCAGCCATCCTTATGGACTCCCCTCCAGCAAATTGGCCTGGGTAGCTGTGCCCTGGGCTGGGGAATATGTGGCAATTTTTAGGCAAAAGTTCACTTCCCCTGGGGATGTTTGTCTGGTCGGTCTGGATTCCAGGTTCCTCTGGGTGGAGAGCTGGTGAAGTGGTTTTTCTGCTTGCATTTTCCAGAGTTTTTTTCTGAGTGGTTTGGAGACAAGTTTGCATTTATAAACAGTTTCTCCTGTGCGTGAAGAGCCTTAGAACACACTCCCTAACTCCGTAATTATTGACTGTAAACAGCCTAGGAAACACTATGTTGTTACCTGTGGGTGGATATGTGGCCTTAGGTGGGGAACAGGGCAACGGGTAGGAAAGTGGTAATGTACTCGCCTTTCCAGCTGCAGCCGTATTTCACTCCATGCCAGCTTCTCTTAGCGTTTCCCGTGAATCTGTCAGTACGCTGGTCTTGCGACGTGTTCAGCTATTTCATCAGTCTTCCCCTAACTAGATCAAGTTGTCTGGGGTCTTTCATTAAGTTATAGGTCTCCTTTGAGTTTAGGTGCTCCATGGCATGCATGCTGAGTGAATAGAATAAACTAACCTATAGCTATTCAACTGGGATCTTGTAATTGATTTAAGCCCAACACCAAGAAAGTACTTAAGTCAGTTTCCTGCCCAGCTGGTCGTGATGTGGTGTGTGAAACTGAAAAAGTTCAACATTGGGAAACCAAGTTTGCTGTGTGTGTAACAGCTGATGCAACTCCATGGTATGCCACCACCCACCTTCTGGTCCAGAATACAGTGCTTTTTAAAAATATTTTTAGTTTTTGTTGTAGGCTTTTTTTTTTTTAATGTTTTTCTCCCTTATTTGTCCAGAGGATTTTTGATGTCTTCGTATTTAATTGCCACCCTGGATTCAAAAATGGGAAGGCTATTTGCTTTGGCTTGATGATTAACATAAGTAAACAGAAAAAAAGTTTTCTTGACTGGAGTGTGTGTTGGTTTTGTGGGATCTGGGGCAGATGCAGTTTGGACTATAAACTGCTAGGCACCTGCTCTGTTTGCAACGCTTACTGTAAATATCAGGATGAAGAGAGACATAAGGCAGGTCATCTTTATTTTAGGCACTGTCTTTTATCATGTCCCTTCTTTTCTTCTTCTGCTTAGTTTCCACTTAGTGAATGATGACTTGGCAAAAAGGTAAAAAAAAATATATATATATATCTCTCACCCAACAAGAGGAAGGAAGAAGACTCCCTGCAGTAGAAAATAACCTTAGAACAACAACAACAAAATAATAAAGTAGACCTTCTCGATGTAGCAACTGGAAAGTGAGTTTTGTAAAAAGCTCCAACATGCCATGTTACAGGTGGGCCCTCTGCAGAAGACCTATGGGCCTCCCAGACATGAACCACCTTCACTCCAAGTGTCTGTCAGTCTCATCCCCAGTCCGAATTCAGAAACGGAATGCTAATAAGATAAGCCTGTGAAGCCTCTGCTCTAAAGTGTCTCACTCCTTAGTCCTCAGTGCGACAATAGTGATTGTACAACATCAGGACAAATACTGTACCATAGTCCTATTTTCTGTAGCTTGGTCTAATATAGGGATTCCTCGCTGAAAGGGCTTGTTAGAACCACCTAAAGGATTCTTTAAAACACACACACATACACACACAAGGGATACCTTGTTTTTCACACTGAAATCTGAAATGCAGTGATGACTTCAGAATGCCTACATTTAGGAGAGGCTTTGGGAGCAGAATCTGGTTGGATCAGAGGGTTACAAGAGATGTCTTAAAGATAGGTGTATATGGTAAATACACACTTTATAACTAGTTCGCCAGAGAGTCCGTGGAGATTAATACCCAACCACCACCAAGATGCACCCCCATTGTATGACACTTGCCCTCTAGTGGAGAGTTACTGCCTCTGCTTGTAGAAGACCTTGTTAAGTGAAACCCTGAACTGCAAACTTCAGTGTCTGCATTCTAATCCCAGAGCATGTGCCAGGCTTTATTCACATTTGTTCATATTTTACTTCTAGTAACACCATGAGGATAGTACTGTTGTCTGTCTTACCGATGAGGAAATTAAAGTTTACAGACATTAGGTTGTCTGCTTAAAGTAACATCGCTAGAAGATTTTCAGGTCTATCGAACTTAAAAGCTCATACTTTGAACCTCTTAGCTGAAACTAATGCTTCTATGTGAAACTGTGCACTTGAACCAGTTGAAATTATTAGACTCAAGGCATTCTTCACAAATATTCTGAAGTGCTTGGGGCCACCCTGGGCAGGAAATAGCAATTGTGTGGGCTACTTGAAAGAGAGGGACAGGAAGGAGATTAAGCCTGAAAAACCTAACACATCAAGTGTCTGGTTGTCAAAAGAAAGCTGCTCTGATACAACCCATCTCTGCTATGAGACAAGGTTGAACGCATGGCCAGCAGGGAGACTAAACTACTATTCAAACTTAAACAATGAAGAAATTATGCCAGTTAAGCTGTTGTTTAGCCAAGTATTCACTAAAGTTAAGATCAGAAATGTTGACACTCACTATAGACTCATTTCTCGTTTTAGGGAGTGGGAGAAGGGACATCACATTCAGCCTTGAAGGTGATGGACCTCAGTCTTCCTCCCAAGTGGTGCTATTCACATGGACCACAGTGTGAATGGTACCATCTGGAGCTGGGATGCATAAGCAGTCTGGGAGGGTGGGGGGGTGTTGTCCTTAGACTGATAGTAAAATAATAATTTGAAATATGTTAACCTTTTCATAACTAAAGCTACAAGAAAATTGACTGCTCTATAATGTTCAGATTGAAGAGTTCAGAATGTTCTGGAAGTTTTGTGTTGGCGTGTGGAGACTGGGATGGATATAATTATTTCTGGGTCCCAAAGGTCTCCAATGAAACTGGACTGGAAAAATGGAAACTCAAAGGAGAAAGTCAAAGGATTGTTGTTGAGGCTTTTAACCCTGTCCATCAGAGCTTTTTCCCCAGTTCTGCTCCCTCATTAATGCTTAGACATTGAGATCATCTACAAGGTCATTTTCACAATCACTTTCTCTGATGGTGGAAGCATGGAATGATGAGCAGAAAGATGACAAGGAGGTTATAGTAGTTTTACTGGCCTAAAATCTCAGGATTGGAAGACAGTTCGAACTTTAAAAATTTTTTAAAATTTCTCATTATTATTAATTTGCTACAGGGCACATGTGGACACCAGAAACAGTAGGAGAGAGAGGAAAAGTGAGAAAGCAAGCTGCCAGTTCTGGGTCTCGAAACATGGTCAGCTATGTGGGAGTCTAGTGCCTCAACCAACATGCTACACACTGGCCTGATAGTTTGCACTTTTAAGAATTTTACTGGATTTAGATTATTCAGATTCATTTTTATTTTATTTTACTAGAGAGATTTTTTGCTCTAAGATGTGTACACTCACCAGAGACACAGAAAGCAAGAAATCATGCCCTGGGGGGATGGACATGCTTCAATCCTTCTCCTTCATTTTCCTTTCAGGATTTTGGGTACATATGCACACACAGATTTGGCTAAATTTTAAGCCAGTGGGTCCGGGACTCAAACCACGATCAACTATGTGGGAGTCTAGCATTGTAACTATTACACCATCTGCTGGTCCTAGATTACTCAAATTCTTAAAGAATACCCAAAAGCCCTGGAATTAGAGTCTTGAAACTAGGATTCTCATCTTCTAACAAGTTCACTTTTTACAGAAACTTGGTTTCTTTAGGCCATAGTTTTCATCATTAGAAAGCAAGGGAGTTGGGTTATGCCAGCAAACCTTAGTCCATCTTAAATCCCGTAAATTCAGACCCAATGTACGCTTTTAATAACAAATTTTAACACCATTCTTAATATTGTGAAATGAACTTCATAAATAATACAGTCTGATTCTGATTTAAGTTTTAAAAAATCGATAGCATATCCTAACAGTAATATAAAAAGGAAACGAAGGAAATTGTTGCATTAAAAAGAAAGATTTTTAATAGAGAAATGCCTCTGCACAACTACACCAGAGAAAGGTCATAATAAAAGTCGGATGTTTTCATCTCTATCAAATGGCCGTCAATGCACAGTTACAAATAAAGATGGGTAGGGTGTAGAGTACCATTTGGGATTTAGAAATGTCTTTCACTGTGAAGGACTGCCCTGGGTGTTGCAGTAGAACAGCATCCTTGGTCCCTATCATTAAATCCCAGTAGTGTGACATTCTCCTTTTGCACTCGATTCCTAAAAATGCCTCTATCCATTTCTGAACTGCCACTGGGGAGAGGGGGGGTTTGATCCTATAATTTCATGAGAACCCATTTCTGTAAGAATGCTAACTTCGGGACCAGCAGTTTGCATAATGGCTATGTCACTGGACGCCCACGTAGTCGACCGCGGTTCGA